GACTTGTCCTTCTAAGGCAGTGGAGTAAAATAAAAATAGATTCACTTAGGTGAATGTTCAAATGCTGAGTTTGAGATTTCTGGTTAAAAAGTGATTTAGAATCCTACAACTATTTTTATTGACCCACAAATTTCCAGACTTTTTCAGTATCTTAAGCCTATATCAAGTCATACTGTTTGTCAGGGCAGGAGAAACAAGATCAGCTACAGGGACAAATTCAAAATGAAACTTCATCATACCTTCTCTGTAAAGAGTGCTCTGTGTCACTAAAAGTAGTAATAAAGAAGTGAGCAATAAAACCTAATGTGAAAAACCGGGTGCTCTACAGAGAGAGGATCATTAGAACTCCCAGGAAATAGGAGATCTAGACTATAAGGTCTTTGAAGGCACAGACTTTATAAAATTTTTTATTTTTATTTCTATGCTAAGTTCTTAGCACAGTATTGGCAGGTAGGTATTTAAGAATGCTTGCTGAATGACTAAAGGTAGATGAAGATAAAGGACACAGACTATCATACAAAAGAGAAGCTCTAAAGAAGTAACAGCATTTATAAGGAAAAGAAAATGACATTCTTAGGAAATAGTCCCTTTCAACCTTACCCCAGACATCAGATTTAATTGAGAAGGTATTATAGGCAAGACTCTCTGGTGCTGTCCACTTAATAGGAAATTTGGCTCCAGCATGAGCAGTGTAGGTGTCTCCAGTCATCAATCTACTTAAGCCAAAGTCAGCCACTTTTACCACGTGGTTTTCTCCTACTAGGCAGTTCCGAGCTGCAAGATCTCTGTGGTAAAGACAATTCTAATGTGATTCATTCAGATGGTGAAGACAACAGTTATTAATACTTTACTCTTAGTTCTTTGTGCTACAAGCAAAGTTGATTAAGTACTGAAAAATAAGTTATATTTATAATAATCACTAACATGGTAGAAAGCCACTAATTACATATCACTTACAAGAGGAAGTCATGTGATGCCGAATAAAGCAGTCTTTATAAAATTGATTTCTATTTATAAGTACACCATGATAGGTTTCATAGGTAAGCAATAGACAGTTGCTTTTCTACAAGGCTGAAGTTCTTTCCTAACACAGAAAGCTATTTTTAAGATTCAGCCGCTAGATGGAGCAAAAGGATCTTGGGTGTAGTACTGGGCAAACTAAAGAGTGCTTTTGAGACTAACATTATACTGGGCCCTGTCAAATAGAGAACTACTTGCTTGAGTCACCTAACAATTTCTGGGAAGGTTCTCACATTCTTCCCTTTACATATCAACCAAGATGACTTCATTGTTAATCACAGACAATAAGCAGATTTTTCACACCTATGGATGAAATTCTTCTTCTCTAAATACTCCATTGCAGAAGAGATCTGAGTGGCCATGTAGAGCAGTACAACTGCAGTCACCTCTTCTCGGTTACATTCTCGGAGATAATCAAGCAAATTCCCATATGGCATATATTCAGTCACAATGTAAAATGGTGGCTCCAAAGTACACACACCTGAGTGTTGAAGAATAGAGTTAGTTTTATTAGTATACATACATTCAAACATTCCAAACCATGCCAGCCAAGAATAATTTGATAATATCTTGGGTCTAGTTCAGTAGTAATCTTTTCCCTTCTTAGCACCATATTCTTTGAAGTTGATATAGCAAAAATTAAGAAGCTGGTTGACAGGGGAGTCTTTGCTTCCATTATATTGTTCTCTGGAAATTCATATGCCTTTCAGTATTTGTCTGTTTGAGCAAAAGTAAAATTACCTGTATTAATTCCATAAGGGGCCACGAAAAACAAAATTTCTGTAAGTTCCTATGTGTTCTTAATTCCTCTCTTTGACTACACAATAAGGATAGTTATCTAGGATTTAGTTGATACGTGACAGCTTCTTTATAATGAACCAATGAAAAAGCAATTCCTTTGGGATACACTGGTTCAATTTGAACATCCAGAGAAACTGGCCATATTTTAAAAAGGGAAAGGGGCTTAGTGAAAGATTGCACTGTGACCTGAACAGGTGAGAAAGCCAATCTATCATAATATAGCATTTTCTCCTTACAAAGGTAAACCTGACAGGTGTGATTTTAAATTTGCTTCTTTCTTCCTTTTCTTTGAGACATAGTCTCACTTGGTCTCCCT